ACCTGGTTTGGATTTACTGCTATGGCATTTGGCAGAGAATGAACCTAACAGAAATGGAACCCCACCAGCACAGAAAGAAGCAATTGAAGCAATGCCAACTGTGAAAATTACAAAAAGTTTACAATGTTTTGTATGTTTAGATTATTACTTTTTGAAAGTTTGGGTACTGCAATGACATTTAAAAGTTTGGGTATTAACTTGATGATGGAGGGTGATTTGGCCCGACCTCGTCATGAGGGGACACATGGACATGACTCAACATAAGCGACAACTTAGCACGACCAATCCGCCAAGATCCAGCGTGGCAACTCACTACGAGATGACACTCCGATTACCTCGAGCTAAGGTTCTTTTAAGTTGGGAATATCCCGAGCTGAAGGCACTTCGGGTTGAGCTCGGGAGTCTCCTAAGTTAGAATAAATTTACTCCTGCCCAAACCTAAGTAGGCCACCTCGGGTAGAAGCACCTCAATACGGCACCTGCAGCTCGGCACAAGGTAGCTCGGCGTATTATAGGAAGATCTTCTGTCTGACAACCGTACCTGCCAAACCTGGAGACCTGCACCCACGTCTCTCGCCAGGCGTCGTCGTCCCTACCAGCCCTGAGAGGTGTCCCTTGTCTGGCAGGGCCGTACTCTGCAACGGTTACTTGCACCCACTAGCTCAGCCTTGGCAAGTAACAGCTACAACAGAGAATCAGAGGCGGTTATGCCAGATCTGTCAGGACACCGCTATATAAGAGCTCTGACCCCCAAAGAGCAAGGTATTGCAACTTGCATGATCTGCACTCTAGCCCTTTTATTTATCTCTACAATTCTCTCTTTCAGCTCTCAGCTTTCTCTCCCAGTTACTAACTTAAGCATCGGAGTGTTCCTATCGGGTGAGCTCCCCGAAATCCCTTCATCTTATTCTTCACAGGTGCTTCGTCCGCCGCCAGCTAGGAGCGCAACTATTTCCAACTAGGAGTGACCACGTCATGCATCATCAGTTGACATTATGCCAAGATACGGAAGTGACATTTTCCTTTGTTTTTACGGATTCCTTTTTAATTGTGGATGTAGCGTGTATGATATATCAACAGAAACAAAATACTTGTGAAACGCTCAAATACCAAACACCTATTTTATGTTTTAGGTTGCCTGATTAATACCAATCATGAAAACCATCAATAAGATGTTATCAATCCAATGGATCCTCTACATAATGTATGGTTAGGTGGATTCAAGTAGAAAAGCTCCTTAATTTTGTTCACTTGAACAATTTTTAAAATGTTCTTTTTTTATTAGACACTAAAATTTTTAACAATGCGTTTTAGGGTGAAGGAGTCAAAATTAACAGTCCAGTTGCAAGTTGCAACCAAAATCCTGCAGTTGGGGTTACATTCCGTGGAACAAGCTATGGACTCAATGGCCCTAAATTTGTATTCTTTCCAAACTGAGCTTACAAATACAAATAAGTACAGTGCAAGAACATACAAAATAATACAAAATACAAGGTCTTGCATTCTACATATTTGCATTTGTATTCCTTCCAAACCGAGTCTCAAATAAATGGCCCTGAATTTGTAAGAAATAAATTGAAAACTAAAAATGAAAAATGTTCTTGTGGATTGTAATTGTTATTTCAGAAGCTGTTTCTACTTTCCACCACTGATTTCTTTTTTTTTCTGACTGCAATTGGGTCGGAATTTCTTATCATTACAGTCATTGTGGCTCCATTTGAAAGCAGTATAAATACAAATACTTAGAGTGCAAACTTTATATTTTGTATTATTTTATATGTATTTGTACTGTACATATTTGTATTTATACTCCTTCCAAACTGAGCCTGTATCTCCTAGACTCCTAGGATCACTGGTCACTAATCATTTTACAATGACTCAGCTGGAGTTTGTTACATCCAACTGCTTGGAGAGTGGATTTCCCTAAAGCTACTTTGCGCAAGTCTAGATATTCCGCTCTGGCAGCTCAAATTGCTCTAATACCTCTATGAAAACCTTGTCGGGCCTATGATTATACTCAAAGTCTTAGATTGAGGCAGGATGAAGGCCCAAAGAGTTTCGTGGATGGTTTCTGGTTTTAGACTTACTCCATGTTTGGGAGTATTTATGTTAAAAGTCTGTGCTTAAAAATAAATGTTTATTCTAATAAATATTTATTTGCATTTGGCACCCAATTAGGTATTTGATAGTTTTGTTTTTCTCCAATAAGCATTTGTGGTTATTTTGTCCATTATTTTCTTTTAAATTTTATGAAGTACTTTTATAAAAGTATATTACTTTTATGAAAATACTTTCACAAAATCATTTTTGCAAAAACATTTTTACAGAAGTGCTTTTATAAAAATACTTTTACAGATGTACTTTTATAAAATTCAACTAGGGATAATTTTGAAAGAAAAAAAAATTGAATAGTGCTTATACAATAAACACTTAAAAAAGTTAGAAATTTAGGCTTAAAAAATAAGCCCTTATTTTTAAAATAAACACTTATTTTGGGCTTATTTCCCAAACACCAACAAGTGCTTAATGGTGTGGTCCCGGTCCAAATAAGCACTTATTTTCAATCACTCCCAAACATGACCTTAGAATCTTTTTTGATAATAAAACAAGTGGTTAAACTAGGAACCAATGATTGGTTGTAGAGTTTTGATTGCCGATATTCCTAATGTGCGGCTGAGTGAATGTGGCCAGCAATGTGTTGTGGTTAGCAAATCCGAACTCCCTTAGGCTGTGTTTAATTTTTGAGAAATTATTAAAATCAAGAAAGATATGGAGAAATTCTCAAGGTCCGAGAGAAAGGGAAGTTGAGTATGAATGCGAAAGAGTTGTTAGATTTGGAAGCAAAAACCCAATATCAACCAAAAAAAATCCTATAGAGAGGGGTCTAGCCCCACCACACTGAAGTTGACAACCTTCTTTCCGATTGCTTTTCGATCTGAGTCACATCAGATGAAAATACTCCGATTGATCAATGTATCTATCTATCTATATATAAATTTAATCCATTGATTCAAATTTGTGGAAGGTGGTAGGTTAGTTTGAACAAGAATAACTGTTGTTCAAGGGAACTGAGTTAAATAAAAAACAGTTGGTAACCCGTTGCAACTGTAATCGGTCTCATCTCTCTAACCAAATATCAACTCCACTAGTTTCTTTCTCACCAATCATGCAAAAAAAAAAAAAAAATACAACCAATCAGCTCACATCATAAAAGTAGTAACCAATTAGGTGAATTTTCATCAAATTCATAGGGATTGTGATTTGTTAAAACCTTTCTGATATCATGTCTTTCGGGCACCATAGATTTTTCTATAATTAATGTAATTTCCTTGAGGAAAGAAACATATAGCTTCTATGGTCAAATGCACTCTCTATCAACATAAATAACTGGCTCTGGCTGTCCCACAGACAATACTCTCGTGGATTTGTATAAAACAGCAACATGTTAGCTAGATTCTCACATCCTTTTCCATTTATTTTCTCATTTGACTTGGAACAACAATTCTATAAAGTATTTGTTGGATGGCTTTATTGGATTGATTATCAAAATGTGCTTCATTGACAATATATATATACAGAACCTGTTCATGACAGTGAACATTCATTCATTCGTTCATAAGTACTCAAGAGGATATTGGCATCAGCCATGGAGGATATCCTGGCCATAAATGTACTCAAGAAGTAAAGAGGATGATGTGAGGATAACTTAATCAAGTTGGATTATTGTATTACAGTTCCGTACGTAGAAATATAAAGAAAATGCTGGGCTTGTGAACGACAGCAGGCTACACTTTTCTATAAATATGCCATAGTGTTGCTTTCTCTTTCTCTCTCTCTGCATTGATACGTAAAGCGTTCAATATTATGGTAGTCCAAACGGGGTTAGGAACATCACTGTTCTTTGCGAGTTCGGATTGGCTCCTCACAGATGCCCCACAACACATCTCAGTGTGCACCGGAAACATTTGCCCGCAGATGTCCCCAATTCATGGTTGGGATGTGCTGTAGGGCACATGTGGATTGCCTTCATAGTTGGATGTGGAGCCAATGTGAATTCCTGATTTGCATACCTGATCTACTTTTGATTATGAATAGGTTGGGAAGACCTGATAGAACTGGATTGATTCAATCCAATTATATAGGGTCTGGGTCTACATTATAATATGTTTGATTGTATATGAAAAAGATATATATGATATCCAAAAATCAATTAATCAATAATCTGGAATCATAAATATAATAACGAATAAAATGTTAATTATCAAAATTTATGGGTGGGTTTTGATTGATTAAAACTCTTTTTATATCGTATTTTTTTCCGTATCATAGATTTTTCCATAAATATAACTATAAAAATTACAGTAGGATGGTAATTAACTATACGTATTTTTCTCATGAAATACTTTCTTTTGACCGATTTTTCTCATGAAATGCTTGTATTGTTGTGATATTATGATGTCCAAATCCACATCTCCTTTTATTATCAACTATAAGCCTGCAACAAAATTTAAATTCCAGTGTTATTTAATACGTTTTCCTCAATTTGTACACTGATTAGTTGTAAATTATTTGGTAAATCTTGGTCCTACCCAGGACCGATGCTTTAGAGAGAATGATAGCACAACAGAATTTGATGCAACTGCCTAAAACTACATCAAATTTAGGGGTATTTTAGAAATGACGTTATGAGATTTTAAGTTTTTGGGATTTTGATAGAAAATGGTATTATTATTAAAAACCTAATTCACACTACATGTTTAAAGGTTATTTTAAAATATTAATATTAATTTTATAATTATTTTAATAATTTGAGACAGCTACCTAAAATATTTGAAAAATGACGTTATGAGATTTTATGGTTTTGGGAATTTGAGAGAAAATAGCATTATTATGAAAACCCTAATTCACATTACACGTTTAAAGGCTATTTTAAAAATATTAATATTAAATCTATAAATATTTTAATAATTTACCAATGGTTCCAAAAGTCGTATATGTACACCCGCCCCGAAAACCCTCCCTTTCGAGACGGGGCGGATTGATGCCCTCCGGCCCGCCGGAGTCGAGCCCTCTTGGCCTCTTCAGCTAACTAGTAACTAGGAGTCGGACCAGGAGAAAGTGCAGACGGACGTGGATCACGAGCTATCGAAAGATTTGAAGTTGGAAAAGTCTGATGCTGCTATGCGAGCTATGAAGACGACTTTGGAGGCCGGAGCTGGTATCGTCATAAGCCGGAAAGCCATTTCGTATCCGTAGTGCGGAAGGGTCGTGATAACGACCGTTTACGTCGGTCGTTGTAACCGGTAGAGCGCCACAAGTCGTTTTCGCGGGAAATGTGTTCATCTGAAACGCGTTCTTTCTCAGAATTTTCATTTACTTCTTCTGGTTGACGCGTTTTTAGTAGTTTTATTTATGTTTATCGAGCTGGGGGAGATGGGGAGGGAGAGAGAGGGAAGAACGAGCGAACGACTGGATTATTTGCAAAAATTAAATCGAAATACGAAAATATAAATATTTTCGGTCTACTGTACTGTAGTAGTTTTCCTTGCACACATGTACATGGCATTCATATATTGGATAGCGTTAGCGACTCTATTTGAACAAATATAAACAAATGTACTGGCAACGACGACCACAACAAAGTTCGGAAATGGGGTTTTTTACAAGTATCGAATTAAAAATGAAAACGACGTACTTGTTCGGGTGGTAGCAATTTTCGCATTTGGGAATGTAATCCCTTGCACGCTTCCCTTCAAGTATAGATGCAGTTTGTGTGCTCGGTTCTTTGTCCGCTTCAGTATTTGCTTCTGAATTCGAGAGAAACGCGATTTTTCGAGTGTTTGTGTGCTTGTTAGCTTCTCTTTTCAGGGAGGTGTTCATGGGTTTTCTTGGTTAGGTGGCTTTGGGACAACTTACGTGTTCAACTTTTAGATACACGGTATGGCTTCTCTTAGTTTTGGGCTCTGCTTTTTTCTAGTTTTCCGTTTCGGGCTTTTCTTTTTCATGGTAGCTGTGAGCGTACAACAGTTTTGATTTCATTTCGTGTTATTTGAGCTTTATGCTAACTCTGCACATTTTCGTTTTTTTTCTGGGTTTTATGCTCAACTATGGGAAGGGAAACGCTCAGCTTCTCTCTGCTTCTCTCTCTCCCTCCCCCTTTTCAGTGTTTACATTTAATTTTCTTTTTTGGGACTGTTAATGCTTGGGTTATGGGTTTTCTTTTGTTGTATATGAAGTTGCTTCCTAACTTTTTATTAATTTCTTGTTAATGGTGATTAAATTCTTTTACTGCGGTTCTATATTTTCTCTTGAATTTTCTGATTAAGTATTCTTTGTAGGTCCCATTTTAAGAATGCCCATTTGACAACTTATGTTCTGTATGTTTTATATTGATTTTATATTTTTCCCCGTCCTGATTCATTTGCCTGATTTTGTCAGAATTCTCAACGATTTCTGCATTTTGTTATAATGGCGTCGCCTTAACCCTGTATAAGGAGAATAGAGAAAATAGTTTTTGATTTTTGAGCATCGTTCTGGGTTCGTTATCTAATGGGTATTTTCTCCCCTAATTTTTTGTTCCTTCTTACAGAGAACTGGTAAAGGAGTGGAAGAATGGATATCCTTGAAACAGATGAAACACTTGCATTGCCGCCTTCATCTTTAACTGTTGCTGTGGCTGTCAGTGGGAGTAAAAAAAGCAGATTGGTGGTTAGATGGGCACTGGACAAGTTCATTCCGGAGGGAAGAATTTTATTTAAGTTGTTACATGTCCGTTCAAGGATTACTTCAGTGCCTAAGTTAGGTACCCAGTTGCTTTGGTCCTAAATATATATGCAGAACTCTCTCCCATTCCTTAGGCTAGCAGAAGCTCAAGTTTGTATTTTCTTGAAGTTGACAAACAAATACCTGATTTTTCCTGAGTCTAAATATAATTTTGCAATTTTATTAGTAACTGAAGGCAAGTTGGATATCAATGTCAGTGCTGCAGTCCACAATATCCCAGCAGAACTGTCTCTCCATTCCAAAATTAGCTTCTGCTAATCTTGCCTACGGCTAAAGTTATTGTCTAATATCTAAAATTAGTTTTGCCTGTGCCTGAATTTATTGTGCAATACTTTAGTCACTGAAGGCCAAGTTGGGTATCTAAGTCTGCAGTCCAAAGTATTAACAAAACTGTCTCCACTCAATTAGCAGAAAGTAATATTGCTTTTTCTTGTCCAAGTTGTCAAACACAAAATAGTTTTGCCAAAGGCTAAATTTATTGTGTTATATCTAAGGCTAGTTTTGCATTTTTTTATTTTTGCAATTAAGTAAAAAAGATTTTATTAAAATAAAAAGGAGAAGATACAATATTAACTTTTTGATTTTACATGCTCGAAGCTGAATAAAATGACATGGCTAAACAATCCCTACATAATACGCTAAACCTATAAGGAAATATTAAGAAATGGGAAAAGGATGATACTGCATTGATTTATCAATATGGCATTTGTTAGTAGTAGACAGATTTCTTCCTGGTAAAGTAGTGAATGGCTTACTTCTGTTATAGTATTCCGTTATTATTGTTTTCTTTTATTGTTGTTGTTATTTTGGAGAATGGAACATTTTTTCCTTTTTCTTTTTATTTTTAAGCAAAGTAATTCACTAAAGCAAAACAGAAACCTACATAAAGCCACCACAAGCTAAGAAGAGTGAATCTGTGGTGGGGAGATGTGATGCATCTAAGAAATTCACGATAACATATATCCCTGTGAAGGAACTTGTTCCATCGTGTTCATTATCCTAGGGAGTATGAACTTAAAGTGATAGGGTATATTTTGGTTTTAGAGACCTAGTGCTTAAGCTTGTCCCCCTTTCTTGTTAGTGTATTTTTTCTTATCTCAGATTCAATGCTTTCTTCTAGGCAATTAGGTTTGAGAGTACTTAGTGGATTGAAGCAAAACAGCAATGAAGTTTTGGTCTTTTGACTTGTTTTAAGTGATAGGGTATGTTTTGGTTCAACTAGTGCTGAAGCATGCCCCACTTTCTTGTTGGTGTATTTTCTCTTTTCTCAATCTTAAAGTTTTCTTCTAGGAAATTAGGTTTGAGAGTAAATAAGTGGATTGAAGCAAAATGGAACAGCAAACAGAATGAAGTTCTGGTTTTTTAATTTGGGTAATAGTATGGCCTACTCAATACATAACTTCGAGCTTACATGTTCTAGGGCTATAAAATTCTGATATTTAATGCAGATTTCCCCAAGACTTTATAGAAAGGATGAATATTTTTCACTCAAGGAGCATATACTTATATATTTTCTGTGATGGTCATGTTAAGCAACAATATGTAGGACTTACCCAATTTTCTTTTTAAAGAAGTTTGTAATTAAATTTAACTAAATGCTTTCTGATGGGCATTTGGCCTTTTGCCTTTTCAGTGGGAAATTCTATTCCTATTTCACAAGTGCGAGATGATGTAGCTGCTGCATATAAGAAGGAAGTGAAATGGCGAACAAATGAAATGCTTCTACCCTACAAGCAAATGTGTTCACAAAGAAAGGTCAAAATTTGTTGGTCCTTCATTTTTTTTAACAAGGGGAAGTTTATTAATAAATACAAAAGATCAAGAACATGGGGAGCTTTGTGGCTCAAGAATAAAAGGCTCCACTACGAGAAACACGATCCCTCTCGCTCCATAATAGAAACATCACCTATACACATTATAGAGCAGCCAAATTCTGCCAGCTCTACCTTTAACTTCTATCATTCCACTGGTCTCCTTTCCAAACCAGCCTAAAATGCAAGGCTTAGGCATTGACTGCCAGCCCACCCCCAAGTTCTCTGGTTTCTGCCCCTACCACATAGTCCTGACTGCTCCTCATTTCCTAGACACCCCTACATCCACTTTGAAGAGGGAGTTATCAAACTTCTTTTGACTCCTTCCTCTTAGCCTTCTCAGTTAATCTCCTTCAAAACTTTCTGGTTCACTACTTAATATGAACAACTCTTCACCCCTATCTTCCAACTCCTCATTTCCCAACCCTCTACTCCTATCTTCCGCTTCCTAATTACTAATGACTCTCTCCACAGCATCCTTTCCTCCTAAAATGAACAAGCCAAGGGCTTCAGCCACATTTACCTCTTTCTCTACCACTGTGTCGAAAGAAATTGATTTACTAATCTCATTTATTTTGCCAATAACAAACATCATCTTCAGGCATCAACTCACCATCTTCTTATTCATGATTTATCCTAGCACAAACATGCCAATATCCTCCTTAACTTCTCTCCCCTCTGACAGAGGATGAGAGCGCTAAATCTGCTTCACTGTGTATCCAATCTCAATGCCACCTGGATAACCTTGAAGACGCATCCCTGTTCCCAGAAACACAATGGATAATCCTTGAGGGGTCTGAAATACCACCCACAGAACTTTCCTCCTCATGTTGTTCCTAAAGTAAATTGTGAAAACAAAATGATGAATAGATGTTTTGTATTCCAAGGGGCCTTACAAGCAAAAGGAGGTCTAAGCTAGGTCTGGTGTCAGAGACCTCGGCACAAACCGTATGCAGAATTTGACCATACATCATCTGTACAGGGATATTCTTAGTATTCACTTTTTGCATATATGTTCTCAGTTGTACTTGAATTAGAAAAGCAGTGAAACCTAATTTGGTGATATAAAAGACTAACTTTATGTGCTAAGTCTGTCATCTTTGAGTGAGAAAAGTGAAAATTCACAGTTTTTTATTATTTTATAAGTAGAGGTTTTGCAGGAGTTCATCCATGGACATAAACACAAATTGCCAAATCGTGTTAAATCTTGTGTGCCTTTATTTGTTATTTCATTTCTGTTGTGTTTTCTTGATTTTGGCACAACATAGAAGTAGTCAACTTGGTTTTCCATGCAGGTGCAAGTAGATATTCTCATTGTTGAAGCGGATGATGTGGCAAAGGCAATATCAGGAGAGGTTGCTAATCTTGCTATAAGCAGGCTTGTTATAGGAGCTTCATCACATAGCATGTTTACAAGGTAATTGCATTGCATAGCCGCCTTTCAGCTGGTAGTTTGTGTTAGACCCTTGATTGTCTATCTTGAATAAAATCTGATCATCTATAATTCAGAAAAAAACCATCTAGATATAGTTACTATGTATTAGCTATGTTAGTCAATAATGCCTGCACAGACTAGTAATCTAGATTCATCCATTCTCAAAAAGCTATTAAGCCCAGAGCAAGAAATCAATACCCCATGGTTCAATTCATGGACGAATTGATAGATGGGTTATGGATTTAATGAAGAAAACTTAATCATCTGTGAGAAGATTCAGAATAAGAAAGCTATTGTCTAGAACTGTGGCAACAATTTATGCAAGCATGCTTATAGTTCCTTACCACAATGTGATACATAATATTTTTCACTTTTTCATTTGACTGTTTGTCAAGTCATCAAAGTGAAAATCTGTTGATAGGGCTGGCAATCTTGACCCCAACCCATTTGACCCTCCCAACCCACCCACCTTGAAACCCACCCATTCTAGTGTTGGGTCAATATTAGGGCTGCAAACGAATTGGATCGGATTCGAATAAGGGCATTATCTGATTCCAATCCGACGGTACAAAAAGCAGATCCTATCCAATCCAAAGATCTGATTGGATCTCACAAACACAGATTTGAATTCAGATCTGTTAATAATGCTGGATATTCGGTTATGATCCGATCTGATTTAATTTCTGAAAAATTTAAAAAATATAACAGTTTATATAAAGAAAAAACAAAAAATACAAGTATTTTCTTCAACTATCTTCATCATATATATACATGTATTTATATAAAAAATAAATAATATAAAATTACAAAAAAGCAATATAAACATATTTATAAATAAATAAATAGCATATATATATATATAATCAGATCAGATAGGGGTTGACTTGAATCCGATCTGATCTGAAAATCTGGCAGGAGTATATCCAAATATGACAAAATAGGATCAAATTTTGGATTGGATCGGATCATGATTCGATCCATTTGCACCGCTAGTCAATATGGGTCGAGTGACCCATTAGGGTCAGGGTGGGGTTGGGTTGAGGGTTACCCATTGGGTCACTTTCTTAGGGTTGAGGGGAAATTGGGAAAAACAAAAAAGAAAAGGATTTAGGGTTTGATTTGGTCTCTTAAGTCTCTTCCTCTCACTTTGTCGAACATGATTGCCACTACCAAGATTGCTGCCAATAGAGAAGGCTGATGGCATAGCAATCTTTGTTTTCTCTAGTCTTCTTCTTCTTTAGTAATAGAGAAGAAACGGGGCTGAGTGAGTGACATCAATGGTTAAATAGGATCTCTCTCTCTCTCTCTCTCATGCGTGCATGCTCAATTTCTTCTTCTTCTTGTTTCTCAAAAAAGCAGGGGTTCTCCCTCTTTCTCAATTGCTTGGTCAAGAACTTAAACAGTAAACATGGCATTTTATGTTTATCCAATTTTTTCTAAAATATATAACTTACACCATTTTTTGTAACTTTTTTGTAATTTCTTATTTTTTGAAAATTTTTCTTCAATTTTTGCTTCTGTTTTGTGTTTATTGAAATATATAATCTTTGAATTTTTATATCAATTTCTGTTTTTTTGACAAATATAATGTACATATACTCAATCAAGTTTCTGCATTCTTTTTCAAATTTCAGATTGTTTTTTTCATTTTCCTATTTCAGCGTTCTTCTATAATTTCCAAAACTTTTATAAATTCTGTTGTTTTTTTTTTGCAATTTCTGTTTTGTGCAATTTATACATTTTCTGTATTTTTTGTTATTTATTTGCAATTTCTATGTTTTTTCTATAATTTTTGTTGTATTTGATATTTTTTTTGTTGTTTTTGCAATTTCTGTTTCCTTCAATTTTTATATTTAGCTTTTTTGCAAATTTTGTATTTTTTCTGCAATTTTTTTTTTATGTTTGACATGAAATATATATTTTTTGCCATTTTATTTGTTTTTTGCGTTTTTTATTTTGTTAAATGAACTTTTATAGTTTTTAGTTGAAATATATAGTTCTATGTTTTTATACAATTAGAATAGTTAAAAACAATTAGAAAAATGTGTCTGTTTTGAATTAAAGTATTTATTTTAAATATATAGTTCTCTAATCCACTAACATGGGTGGCAAATGGGTTACTAGGTCAATATGGGTGGGTTTGATTTCTCAACTTGAATTGAATGCTCAATTCTCAACTTTGTTGCATAAGAATCTAATAGATGCTATTTGAAATTTCTACTTTCTATATGTGAATAATTAATTAGATTTTGTTGTATCCTATATGTTTCAATTTTATCCTGCAATTTTAGGAACAATGAACTTGGATTTCTTGAGGATTGGCTGTTATGCATGATGCGATTGGCAAGTGATAAATAGTCTAGTTACTTTTTTCCCCAGAGGGCGTCAAGGAGGGTTCAAACACTTGGGTAATAGCTTTGACACCAAAAGTCACATCAATAAATAGGAGGGATAACTTTAACCAAGGTATAATCAATAGGGGTGCTCACAATTCAGTTAACCGAACCGTGGGGTGATTTTCTGGACCAAACCAACTCGTTTGGTTTTTATATTTAATCGAACTGAAATCAAACCAATGCAACCGGTTAACCGCGGTTCGTTTTTTAGGTTTTTTTATGCCCTCAAAATAAAAAAAGGGAAATTTCCCAATAGGTACCCTGTACTTTAGGCCAAGTGCCAATTTAGTACCCGAACTTTAAAATGCCACAATTTAGTACCTACCGTTAATAGACCATCAGTTATGTATATCACGTGACCTCATGAGCAATTTAAGATTTTTGAAAATATCAAAATTACCCTTAAAAATAAAACACTGTTTATCATCTTTTTTCTCAAGAAAATAAAACAGAGTCCAACTTTTTTGCTTTCAATTTCTCATTACTGCCGGAACGTGCTGGTTCTCTGCCTCAGCTTCCACGGAAGATTATGGCCTCTCCTGTGAAGCTGAAGGTTCTGATCTCTCTGGAAACCCTTGTTGCAGATCTTGCACACAAATCTGTTGGTTGCCAATAGAGTTTTAGGGGATAAAGCAATCACTTCAGCATTTGGGTCTGAAACAATAAAATGAAAGACACATATAGGGAGATTAATTAGAATGAGCTGCAAGAAATCCAATACAATATTAATGAAAATTGAGAACAAGGAGGGACATTTACCTGGGTTTCCGGGGAGATTTCTCTTCCTCTTGATCTTCTGTTGTTGCGGTTGCTGAGAAATGGCAGAGAACATAGGATTCAAGCTACTTAAGTCCTGAACTCTAGTACCAGAAGAGACACTAGCTTCCCTAGACAAGGAGGTTGAATTGAACATGGTTGCAGGCAACATGCCTGTGAATACAACTCCAAGCAAACAAAAAACAATAGGTTCGTCAAAAGAACCAGGTTCTGAATCGCAAGACCAAGAGGGTCGCTTCTCTGATCCATCTTTTTGCGATCCTTCCAAGGAATTCGATAGCTGCGATGCGGTTATGCTGGAGAAATCTCAGGATGTAAATGGAGAAGGAGAAGCTTTAGCGTCACCGTCACCATCTTGCTGATGCCGATACGCTTCACTGCAGCATTTCCAATCCCGTCAGCCTGCAAACATAGGCCTTTCTGCCCAAGCCCTGACATGTAGTTCTTAACTTCATCACTAATAGAAACTCTGTACTAAATGGCATGAATGGCTTCTCAACCGGGCCCGCTGGTGAAGCGAACTTGTTGAACTGCGTATGGTGAGGTGCCAGGGACACCTGTTGCAATAGTACGGCCGTTTGGCGGGTTTGGCACATGGTTGGATCTGAAGACATGATTCGAAACCTCACACGAGTCGGCTATGGGGAGGGAAAGACTCAGAAAGTGGGAGGATTATTGGTGGAAGACGATGTTTCCAGCTGTGGTTGTGGCGACTGCTGAGGAGGTAGGATACTGCCTGTCCTCGCCACAGGTCGATAAATGCAAGAAGATGACATCATCGGAAGGCTAGAATCACTTACGTCGGATCCAGAAGGACTGCTAGGGCTGCTAAGATAGAGAGTAGAGACGGGTGGAATCGCTACGCCAGTGCTCACTGATCTGTTTAACGACTGACCTGCATGTCCATCTACACCGCTAGTCCGAATAGACAAAGAGACTGGAATTGGATATAACAGAAGGTTGATAAAGAAAATTAGCTGACACATAAGGGGCATTTATGTCTTTTCTTATGACATTTAATGGTGAGTTAACGTCAGGTACTAAATCATCGCAAAATGAAAGTTCGGGTACTAGATTGTCGCGTTTTAAAGTTCAGGTACTAAATTGACACTTGGCCTAAAGTACAGGGTACCTATCGGAAATTTTCCCTTAAAAAAAGGGGAAAAACAGAGAGTCGAGGAGAGCTGGGAGATGTAGTAGAGCCTCTAACCCGTCAAGCAAATGCAGCCGAGCCTCCAGTGTCGCCGAAGCAGGAGGGATCGCCAGTATCGGAGGCCGTCGGTGATTCGGTTGGAGGGTGGAGCGCCCAAGGCCGTCGGTCCATTGGGGAAGAAGAGAACTAGGAGAGTGGGAGTCTGAGAGAGAGAGAGCTCAGAGAGAGAGTCCGTTGGGGAAAAGGGAAAGAAAGAGAGCTCAGAGAGAGACTAAGAGAGAGCTTATAGAACTGGGAGAGTGGGAGTCTGAGAGAGTGAGAGTCTGAGAGAGAGAGAGAGCTCAGAGAGAGAGGAAAGAAAGGGAAAAGTCCCTGCGTGGCGGGTGTCAGACAGGCTGTTCACCAGTCTGGCTGCCAATCTACCAGATTGGCGAATTGAAACCAGAAAGTCTCAGTTCGGCAGTCTGAACACTCTCAGACTGCTGAACCTTTCACTAGATTTTCAAAAAAAATATATATATATATAATATTATATAAATATATATTACTGTATATATATATTTTTGATTGGAAATAGTAACTTTCATTAATTCTTTAAGAAACATAGTACAACTGTCACCTTCAAAAAACAAGGTGACCCCTCCACAAATTACAAA